GGGGCGATCAAACTAGCGATCACACTTCCCTTTTTCTTCCTACACTTCCTACTTTAAAATTTAGTGACACTTCAGTCTACTAATAAAGTGACTGAAGTAGTTTTTTCTTTTTATTTATGCATATATTTTGAAATTATCTGATTGTTAAGGGGATCTCTTTATTAACCACTTTTGTTGTCCATGCGCCAATATGAGCCGTTTTTATTAAGAACACCAAGATTCTTTTCATCTAGAGGTAGGCTGATCAATTTGACCAATGTTCTTGTTATTATTGCAGTAATTATTATTCTCTTTAATGAATACAGATGCTGGTCACTTGTTTGCTTGTGTAATCCTTTATTTGTTTGGAATTAATTTGTCCTAATTGGTTTATTAAGCTCATTATCTATTACGAGTTTTAAAATTGGATAGTTTCTAAGCTGCCTTTCTACATGAGCAAGGTTTTGCATACTATAAACAAGTTGATGATTAGTAACATTCTTCAGAGTATTTGCTTTATTCTATTGACCAGACTATTCATTTCTTCAAGACGAGATTCCTTGAAACCTCAGTGAGACCTTAACTTCTATTCCCTTCTTTTGCTTCGTACTTTGTTTTTACGTATTTTTTTAGATTTAAGCATTGTTGCGAATAAATGGAGTCATAAGTCAGGCAATTTTTGTTCTTTAATCCCTAAACTCAAATCCTAAGGCCCTTATCTTATTCTATTTTACCATCATAATCAAAAACTTTATATTTCCATTGCCATCTAGAAATTCGTACTGGCTTATCAATTAAACATTCCCCAAAATCATCCTTAAAGTTCAACTAATGCAAGCTCAACCAATCCTTAAATCAAAACCTTAAATTCTGAACTGTGAAACCCTGACCTATTCTGTTTGTTAATTACATGTTGTGCATAAACTTTTTTTTTGTATGTGTGTTCAAGTCTTTGTAAGACTAAAAATCATTTTCTATAGAACTATGAGATAAAAACCTTCATGAAGTTAGATCATCAAGAACAAAAGGATACTTCTTTCAATGAAAAATGACACTTCAAATCTCAAGGTACTTTCAAAATTTGTTAGAAAGTTGGCAGAAGGAGATTCAAGCCAAATCAAGGGACGGTATTAGCCAGTATGCTGTGAGTTGATGAAACTGACTCAGTCGACTCGATGGAGTTGACCGAGATGTCTCCTAGTCAACCACAAGTTGAGTAAGACCCGCGATTTATACAAAGTGTAGTACAGAATAGGAATGGAAAGTGTCGAGTCGAATATGACTCTCGACGAAGTCTTATTGGTCTCGGCCAATTTTTTGAACACTAAACAAGCATGTATAGATTAATTGGGCCTATTTATTATTTAATCAAATGGAAGCAAACTTCAATGTTTAGTGGCGCTACAAAGGTAAGTTGTTTGAATCATTTATAATAAAATCTTGCTGGAGATATGATAAAATTGATTATATGCAGAAATTTTGTATAAGATTCAAAAAATCTGATGCACAATCTTGCCATAAATTGTCAAAAGACGTAACATAATTTAAAACCAATCTCTCCATACCAATATATACCCAATTTGAGGCTGTGTTGCGCATTAGAAAAACTCTGTTAGACACAGAATATAATTATCCTTTGCTTTGCTTTTTGTTTCTTGTTCATTCCTTGTCACACACAGCTTTCTTTCCATTACATGTTCATAAGTGAAGAGAACCTCATGAGGTAGAGGACACAGTGGTTGTTCATTGCATTTCACTTGAGTATGCAATGTGCTGACTGTTCTCTTGAGAAAACGTAATCCTTACTCCTTTTTGAGTGTGTGTTGGGAAATGTTAGAGAATTTTGACTACATGGATTTTATTCATTGTACTCCATTATATGATGACATTGAATGGGATCCAGTACTTGCAGCTTTGCAAGTCGATACCAAAATTAATAAAGCTCATGATGCTATTCCTGTTCCTCCGAATGAGACAAATCCTGCCAGTGAAAATCTACAGAAAATGGTACCAATTCCCCAACCACGCGCCTTGGAAGGTGGCTCGGTGCCCGATTTTCAAGTTGTTAGGCCAGTGTTTCCCAACCAAGAAGCTGTTGCTAGTGAAAATTTGCTAGCACCAGAACCGTACCCTATAGCAGCAGCCACAGAAAATAGCCCTGAACATTAAGCTCAGGATATGGGACCAGTTTCAAATGAAGGAAATTTCTGCTGTTGCAAATCTGCTCGTGCCAGAGTCAAACTCGACACAATCAGCCTTGCCAGGTTGCCACCACCTTGAAACTGAACCTCTATGGCCAATCCTAGAGAAAGTAGATAGAGCTGGTGAGTAGCCGCACCAGATCAATCTCCAGCCCTAGGGCCATTAAAAATCAATCAAGTGTGTTTTGTCTTACCAGACAGATGGATAGTAGACCACGGCGGAAAAAATCCTTGTCATGTTGACAAGCTAATTCACTCTTCTTTGGATTGTTCACGAAATTTCAATCTCAAATTATTAGATCTGTTTCATTGTATAAAAGTTTATACCATTTTAGGTTCACTTTTCTCTAATCAGATTTCTTTTATTTTTTTTGGTGATTAGTTGTTTTTATTACCTGCATTGTCTTTCTAAGTTGAATATATTGTTTGTTTGAGGCTTTCTATCAATGGAATAGACTGTGATATCCCATATTTGAGAAGCAACAATCTAGATATCTTGGGCTCTGTTTGGTAACCGTTTTTGTTTTTTGTTTTCTATTTTGGTCAAAAAAAAAAAAAAAAAAACAACGCATTTGGTAGTTTTTATTTTTTTTTCTATCTAAGTTGTTTTGCCCAACCTCATTAAAAGTTCCACCTCTGAACCCCATTAACAACAAATTTGGGATTTTTGGTTGAAGTATAAAAAGGGCCCTTTTTCCCTTTCTTCGAACTGTTGCTCACCCAAGCTCCCTCTCTCGTTCGTCTCTCTCTATGACGACTCCATTGAAGTTGCTTGTTAAAGCTACACACCTGCCCAACGTTGAAGGCGTTCGTCTCTCTCAAGCTTAGATTTGGTTGGGCCAAATCTCCATCTCCATCGAGATCTCTCATTTTGTAACCCTCTCTAAAAGGTATTTGAACTTTTGATTATCTATTAGATCTATTTATATATGCATATATATACATAGATCTGTATATATATGTATATATGGGCATAGATTTGCATATATGCATAGATATATTCATAGATCTGCATATATTCATATATATGTATATATGGGCATAGATCTGCATATATACATAGAGATATTCATATATATATATGAGCTTAATAAATTAGGCTACTCTAACCCAAAAATTAATACATATCGGCAGAAGCCTCCCTTTAGGGCTTATTATCAAAGATTTACCCCTCAAGATGTTTTATATGAAGAACAATTTTTAATTGATCAAAGTGGTTATGATGCCTCTTCTATTTATGAATGGAATATTGATGGCATGTCAAAATATTTAATTCATCAAGTTTAACACAATATCTTAATGTATGCCTCGATATGTCGGGCTATTTGTAATTCAGATCATAATACTATTAAATTTATAACTGTAGGATTTACTGGCCCATTACGAGGCAGGTGAGATAATTATTTAAATCAAATTCAACGAAATGAAGTTTTAAATATAGTAAAAATTATAACAGCCGAAGATGGGAGTATAACCACCCAAGAAGATGCTGTTTATACTTTAATACAAACTATATTAAAACACTTGGAGCAATTTTTCAAAGTACTGTCCACGATTACATGAACATGTTGATTGTTTCATTTGGGTTGATGAGTATGACACACTCAAAGATGAACAAAATGTCATCCCACAAGCCCAGTTAGGAGGAAGAGAGAAGAAATGGATCACAGTTTTTATGCTAACTTCTTGTGGTTGATCTTGTATTGTGCACTATTTTTCTTGGTGTTTGTACTTATTTTTTGGTAGAATGTTTAACAATGGAATGCATTAGTATGTTTAATGGTTTTAAGAATTTTCTATTAATTTGCTTTGTGCCTTATTTCATGGGTTGATGGATGTATTGAGATAAAATATTTGGATGTGTTTTTGGCAGGGAATTAATTTAAAGCTAAAATATATGACATAAATTAAAGTGGTTATCAAATATGTTTTCTGTTTTAGTTTTCATAGATTTTAAAACAAAATCTGCAACCAAACATGTTTTTGTTTCAGCTTTTTCCCGCAGATAGGTATTCTACTTCACTTAGCTATTTTGTTGATGACAAAAAAACAAAAGATCTACATCTTGTTGGCTTGGCATATCAATTTTTCCCAAGTGAATAATTTCCTGTATCCCATTATAGCTTTACTGGTGTCGAGTTTCATTGATCATCAAAACTGCTAGCTACTAATGTATTACAAGTTTCAGAGCTTTATCATGTTTATTTTCTCTGTAGAATTACAAATTTGTCTGAAATGGTGGCTTTTGGGAAAAATGTTCAACAAATGATCTTACGATCTTGTTCAAACAACCGACTGCTTTGATATGGTATTCTCCAAGATTTTCATAATGATATTCTTTCTGTACATTGAAAGAAAATAATGATATAGTTTTGTTATTCACAGCAGCTAGAGCTAACATTTTATGTTACAATATTGATTCACATGGTCCAAAATTCAAATTGATTGAGCTTGACATGAATGGCATCATGTATATAGGTTGGTGTTACCATGTATATTTATTATCTAAGGGAATGATGTGAAATGCTTGAGTTTAAACTTTCTAGACGAGTGCCATTTGTGATCCATGCATACTACCTTTCTCTAATTCCTTTTCTTCTCTGAATTATTTGCACTTACCGGAAGAATGGTCAAATTATTTTCTAGAATTGGTAAACAGATTTGGCAAGGCTTATATTGTATTTAAAATTATCATCATTCCCCATTTTCTGCATAAAAATCATGGATGTGTTTGGAGAACTTTTACATTCACGTTATTAATTCATAAAGATGGCTGGCTTTACATGATTAATTCTATAGATCAGGGACTGAGTATAATTTTACCTCTAATGAAACTGCACAAAATAAATATCTCGGTACTATGCTTCTCATGGAAAGACCGGGTACTAGTTTCCATGCATTGTTAGCATTTTAAGCTTTTATTGCAGAATTTTATCTTCACATCATGTGTAATTATTTACGAGTGCTTATGTTAACTGTTGTAAAACTCCAGGTCTGGTCTTCATTGTTATTGGCTTTTTGCTCACCCACTACGTTTTTTTTCTTTTTAGTTCTTCCACCAGTTGAGCTGTCTGATATCGATGGTACATTCGGCAAGCCCTTTTGATATTCATCTCCAAATCCTGGTTAGATGCTTCAATCCACCATTCATATTCTGTCTCAATATCTTTTTTTCATTTCCATACTACTATATTGCATAGAACTCCCCCAAGTCATTGAGACAATTCTTTCTTTCTATATTAACTCAATTTCTAATTGTCCATTAGAAAATTTGGTAAAAAGGCATTGGCAGAGAATACAATTGTCTGTGTGGGGTTTTTTCTCTTCCACTTAAAGCTTCTTTTGAAGTTACGAGAATTTTCCCAAGTTAGAGGACAAGGTTGTTGTTTGGTGCACTACACTTGGTTTTTGTTGTTGAGCCCTTAATCTAAACCAAAGAAGGTGGTGCCTAAGAAAATTCGGTACCAAATTCTCCAATGCAGCCATGCTAGATGGTCATTATGCTGAAGCTCACCTATAGTTATCCCTTTTGCCGAGTTCAAGGATCTATCATTCATCCATCCATCACAAAATTGAAATTTATCATGTTGATTCTATGATGGTAGCCTTGGTGCTGTTAGCTCTGGAAACAACCTCAAAGCTTCAAGAGAGTGGCCGCATCTGAAGGCTGCTAGTGCCGAGTTTGGCTCCAGCATGAGCAGAGTTGCAGCAGCATCACAGTCTTACTTTCTAATTGACCTCAAAGCTTGAGCTTCAATTTTAGAGTTTTCTTTCGTTCCTAATGGTGTGTTCTATTCTGCTGCTGGAAGATTAACTTTGACACTAAGTCTTTAGTCGCTGGCCTACCATCTTTAGCTTCAAGGATCTGGCCACCTTCCAAGGTTGTGCTAGCGAAAATATGCACCTTAGAAAGTGGCCCTACTATTGAAAATCAAGCTGGTGGATCAGTGCTTCCCAAACAAGAACCTGGTGCCCAAGGAAATCTTTCGTCACCAGAATAGAATCCTTCAGCAGCAGCAGCCATGAGGAACAGCACCAAGGCTGTCATCAGGGAATCAAACCTGGTGAAGTTTCAACTACCAGAAGGATAGATAACAGACCCTAGAGGCTACAACTTTGCAAAAATGAAAGAGCGTGGGTTAAGTTAATTCAATCATCAACAAAAGTGTATATATAGATAGAGTTGTCAGCCACCGGAGGCAATCCTCATAACCGCTGGAGAATGACTCGTTGTTGATAAAAGGGTGGAAATTGGGGGACAAGAGGGAAACTGGATTACCCCAACGCTGTTTACTTATTGAAATGGTGATGTTAGGGATCTATGAAGCATACATCTTTTCTAGGAAGGTTGTATCTATATTTGATTATGATAATGATACTCTGGATACTTGTGGATACATATCACATATTTCCTAGGCCTGCACTTACTACGGTCATTTCTTTAATTTCAAAGATGAAGCCGTTTTGAACCGGAAAAAAAAAAAAAAA